GTGTTTCCATCAAGGGAAGCTTTTTTTTTTTTTACCCCGGTCAGTGGATGTCCAGGTTTCGGAGATGACCGCGAACGCTCAGGGGTACGTACAGCGCTGGCCACACGTGACGGCCGCATGCGCTGCCCCTCCTGTTGCCTGCTGGTTACAGTCCTGGCCTCTTTTTTGTGGTGTGTTGGGTACTCTGTCGCCCATGGCCACCCACTCCAACGGGAAGTGTTGCGGTACAGAGTGCAGGTGACCCAAAGTGATCATCCGGTGGTGCATGTGGCCCTTGGTTCTGTGGATCTCTTCTGCGTGACGGGCCGCGTTTCCTCCTCGCCTCCCAGGCCCGTTTCTCCGCCGCCTTCCTGGGAAGCAGAGGATGGACGTGAGCTCCCAGGTTCTGCCCGTTCCCACTTCCGATCCCGTCGTATGGTTTGTACTCCATGCTTCCAATGTGACGTTTTCTCTGCGTCTATTGAATTTGCTAAACTGATAGTAAGGGGGAAAAATATTAATTTAGCTGTGCTGTATGTGCAGTTTGTATGCTGCTAGGCTTTATCAGAGAGTGTATTTGAAGAGGCCACATTATTTAGGGCAAAGGACCCCTAATTATCCCGCTATCTCTCCCAGTGTTACTGTCACGGCACACCGGCATGCAGTCAGTGTTTGGTCTCTTTATAATGTCTGTTATTTATCGCACAGGCAGAAAAGAATCCTACTGGAATGAAAATCCCCAGAAATGGGTACAGGTTTGGTATAGGCTCCTGTTTTGAGCAGGTTTTTGGTCGGCTTTAGCCTGGAACGCTGTGGCCTTTGGTTGGTGCGTTGTTGTTTTTGCCAGTTCTCTTGTTCTTTTGGCATGATCGTATAAGCCGGGTGAGGTGTGTGTGTGTGTGTGTGTGTGTGTGCGCGGCGTATGCATCTCTTTTCTGAAGAGCGTTGACGGACCTCCACGTGCCTCATGGTAGTGGTATGCGTTACTGGGCCAGTCCGGGTGCATGTTTGAATCATTACACTGTCCCTTTCAACGTTATGCGCCTTACTGCATGTGAAATCTTCCTTTGTTGGAATTCTCGCTCTCCTTTTCACGCCGTCAGTTTCATGCCTGAGAAACCTGTGACCGCCTCTGACCGCCCTGTCGTACGTGTCAGTGCCGCTAATCTGATTCGTTCTGTCGAATCCGCTCTCCATTTGCTGCGGTTCAGTCATTTTCGGGGCGAATTTGGTGAGATGACTTTCGGCGCCCGATGCTGCAGTGAGCGTCTTGCTTCTTCAGAGCGCCAGCGTTCCCGTCCCCCGGTTACCGAGCTTCCTGCCGCCCGCGGGTTTGCTCGCGATTGCCTAACCAAGCCTCCGTCCTCCGCATCCGGCGCGGAGATGGTACAGTGCTTTGCGGCTGCGATCTCGCAAGCGGGGGCTGCCTGGGGGGTTTCATTAGCCGCCATTATGAGGTCTCTCCCTTTGCGGGCGCAGCTTAGGGCAGCTAATAATGCTGTGATTCATTCTGCTGGGTGGGGGGGGGTGGGGGGCGGCGGCCATTGCGGTTACTCTGAGGTGGATTCCGCCTGGTTAGCAAAGGTCAACGCTGTGAATTTGGGGGTTCTTTGCTCGGGTAGGGATTTGATAATCAAAATAGTATGCTAATGTCTGTCTAAATAGCTGTGTTTAGATATTTCTGTTTTATAATTGCAATTAAACTGGAAATGAATGTGTATCAGGGAGATTTTTCTCTGGTTTGTTTGTCCTTTTGCCTTTGGGAGGTACGTCTGAGATTGTGCTTGCCTGTGTTTTTGCCACACAGACCCGTCCCGACTCCGCAGGCCCCTTTGTCGCTTAAACGTGGCTCAATGACATTTTTGGAAGCTTGTCTGGTGTCCTGATCTCCTCGCCATGGCGATAGGCCTTTCCTTAGCCCAGACTCTGTCTGTTGTGACAGCCTGGTGCGTTTTCGTTTGTTTGTTTTTTATTTGCGATGGGAGGCTCCTCGGGTACCTAGCATAGTTTTCTATTGAAGGGAACGTGTTTGACCGGTACCTGCTAATGCCGACCTTGACATCTGCTCTGATGTCACTTCCCCGAATGGCGTAACAATCTGGAAGGTGGATCCCCGTCCTCGCCCGTCCATACCCTGCTTATCGTTTAGGCCGCCGTGGGGGTGTCCATCTGAGTGTGTCTGGTTGAGGAGTACGGGTGCCTTTCTGCGTGTGGTTGGCCACTTCACACTGGGTCTGATCACAGTGGTCCAACAGGTCTGACTTCATTAGCTAGAGAGCTCCACTCGGCCTGTGAATGTTCTCACCATGACTGGAGCACATCCTCATACCATCCTCTTCCCGGTTGCCTCATCCCATAACCGCGGAACTGGTTAATCACTGATCCCCTTCTCAGGAACACAATGGTGTGGAGCGATGACTGTCTGGCAGTGATGTGCTCTCACATTTATACTGAGCATGAGAACCGTGGGGGGTCACATGATACCTCTAATTCCAAGAAGGCCCCGCCCCCTGGCTCATTAACACTGGCCCTTGGGTAATCTATTGCCCCCCCCCCCACCCCATTAGCGTGGGGTGATGCTGGCTTGCCACTTTTCCTGGCAACAGAGGTGCAGGAAGTGGGTTTGGTGAGAGGCAGCAGTACTGTAACAACCGGCGAAGGCTGATGGGGAAGCTGCTGTCTGCCTCGTCTATGGTCCTCGGCCCAGCAAACTGCATCCACAGTGTGTCACTGAGTCACACGGTTGGACGTAGGAGAGGGTCCAGATTGAGCAACTTGAAAATCTTAAGCATGGCTCGCTGTGCTGGTTTTTAGGAACGGGTTTTTTGATCTTTGAGGACGACTTAGGGGGGGACCTCGTGGGCTTTGCTCAGGGACTCCACCCAGCGTCGCCTCCGTGACCTTCCGGAGTCACGGGCATGCGAGTGGCCCGTTCACCCCATGTTTCGCCCACAGAGTGCAGGGTGGGGATTTGGCCTCGCCACACGCCGCATGCTGCGCTCGGAGGCTATGCGGCCCGGGGCCCTTTCATGTGTGCGCGGCCTAACCGCACGTGCTCGCCGTCACCGACACCTCGCAGGCGACGCCGGGGATTCGGGGCCTAGCCTTGCGCCCTTGAGCCGGCTGAGTGCAATTCAGCAGGATGATCAGGCCGTAAAGCAGCTTGGTAAATCTCCAGCAGAATGGCTAATCAAACACTGGCCTCATCCTTTTCGCCACGTCGGCCCAGAACAAGATCGATCCATCCACCTCTTATCTGTTCACCTATGACCCCCCCCAGCACTTAGGCAGGGTGCTGTCTGAGAGTCTCACCAGATCCTGGCCTCTGGTTGGGCCAAAACGCGCAGCGTGGCCACAAACAACAACTAGTCCCTGCTCTGCGAGCACCTGCGGGCAAACTCCGGGGGTGACGGCTCAGGGGAAATGAGAGGGCGGAGCTCCATGCAAATCACCCCAAGGAGCACGACCCCCCCCCCCGAGCAAAGCACCAGTCATGCTGTTTCAGTGACAGGGGTTGTTTTTTTGATTTTCGCCAGGGTTTGGGATGTGACGGGGGAGGGTCCGGAAGCGTGTGTCGCTGTAACCCCCCCCCGTTCTCCTGGCTGCCTTCCACACACGCGCACATGCGCACGCAGCACTATGTACAAACCCCTCATGTTTATAGATAGTGCTCTATTTTTAAGACCTTCTCTCTTTTCGTCCACAAATAGTAATTGCAGGTCTTAAAATGATCACAGGCTCCGTCAGCCACTGGGGGTTATGTTTGTCTGTTCGCTCTCTTGTTCGTTCATTCATTCCCTCTCTCTCCCCCATGCAAATGAAAAGCCACACGACTCCAAAAACTGAAACGTTTCTCTGCCCCCCTCCGAAGAGCTGAAGCACTCTGAAAATAAGCTCATGCAAGAGTATTTTATTTATTTTTTTTTTTGATGATGAATTATTTTTCTCACCCTTCCGGGACCTCTGGCAGAGGCCGGCGCGGGGGTGTTCTTCACGTGCGTGCCACCACGCCACCACGGGCCCGCTGCAAATGGTGACCCGGTGGGGGGGCGGGGCTGCTTGCCGCATGCAGCCACGCATCCCGGCATGTGTGTAAACGAAAGGGCTTTTGTCTACCCATCTGCGTCTGTTTCAGGAATGCTGCTTGACAGTACCAGGTTCACAGGGGGCTCAGCCTTGGTGACCTTGGTCGTGTACTGGGCAGGCCTAACAAGTCTGATAAATCCTCTCTGGTTCTGGGGGCAGACCTTATAAATCCTGCATGCCTTTGGGGGTGGGGATAGTAAATCCTATGTGGCTTTTGGGGAGGAGGTTATAAATCCTATATGGTTGTGTGGGTGTGGTTAATAAATCGTATACAACCAGGGCTAGTCTGTCCTATAGGTGACATAGGCAATCTTCTGACTTGCCAGCCAGTTTGACTTTGCCCTGCAAGGAGGGGATGCCAGCAGTAAGGCTCAACTAGGGTGCCCCATCTGCTAGGACCAGTGCTGGCTAATGAATTCTATATGGTTATGTGTGTGTAGCTAATCTGGTATGACTCTATGGGTGTGGCTAATAAATCATATGTTATGTGGGTATGACTAATGAACCTGACAACTCTTTGGGTGTGGCTAGAAAATCCTATGTATGGATATGTGGGAGTTAATGACTCCGCGGTGGGCAGCCCTGGTACATGCTAGTGGCGAAACACTCGGTCCCGCGGTGCGCAGCCCTGGTACATGCTAGTGGTGAAACACTCGGTCCCGCGGTGGGCAGCTGGGATCTGCTCACCCTCTTGGTCGCTCCTTGGCTCCCTGACATCGCAGCTTTAAATCTGAGGCGTATCGAATGTGGCGGCCTGTCCGAGGTTGAGGAGGCTGCTCTGCGTGAAGCCGGATTTGTTTCCTTGGGACGGCTGTTGTCATGAAGTCTGCAGAAGCGCCTGGGATGTAACAAGGCCTTCCCTCTCCTGCTGCCTGTCAGGCTTCCAGCATGACCTTCATCATGGTTTTAATGTCCCTCTCTGCTTGTTTCCCTAGTAACCCTCCACCCTGCATCTACCGACCGTGAGAGACTCCCCAGGACGGAGGCTTGACCCCACCCCCCTCCACCCTCTGAGTGGACCATGAACTAAAGACTCCACCGCCCCACCCATCGCCTACATCTGTTCTCCATTCTTTATTTTATTTTATTTCCCCTCGTATAACGAGGGCTAAGGAGCCCCCCCCCCCCCACCACAGCTCACAGTCACCAAGCCGGAAACATGGGGAGGAAAAAGATCCAGATTCAGAGGATCACGGACGAGCGCAACAAGCAGGTGAGCGAGGGGGGGGGCCCTGGGGGTGGAGCCTAAATGGGCTCTCTGTCGTCGCTCTGCACGCAAAATGCTCTCTATTTGAGACACACACACACACACACACATACACATACAGTCGAGGGTGCAGCTTGGGGTCCGAGCCCATGCAGTCAGGTCATTTGTCCAGTGACCCTGAAGCACTTTTAGGGGCTAAGGGCCCAACAGATATGCGACTATTTTCCTGAGTTTGGGATTCAAACTGGCAACCTTCTTCTGCTGAGAAAGACACCCACCTCTGCCCTCGGGCATGTGGGTATAGGGTGTGGATCTGCCTGTGACTGCATCTACATGCCCCCAAACTGGGCTGTTACCCATCAGCAAGTGGCAAAGTTTTTACTGCAGCGGCGGGTGTATCTCGCCTGACTGACCTCAGTGGCACGGAGCCGTCCTCCCAGGAAAAGCCGCATGCCAGAGACGGTCGGATGTGGCTTCGGCAGAAAACAAAAAAAGAGAGAGAGAAACTGAAGCTCAGCCACAGAAAGCAGCCAGAATGGGATGTGAAAATGCAGTTCCACAAAGTTCTAGATGAGATTATGGGACCCTTAAACTAAAACCTGGGTCCCGCCACTCCCACAGAGAACCATCGTTCTCCATCCCCTGTAATTGTGCCGTAATGTGGGGATCACTGTTAGCCAGTGAACCTTCACAGCCCCAAGTGCTCTAGCTTTAGCCAGAAGCTACTAGTCGGCCATATAAACCATTCAGGGACTGGCCTTCAGAGAGGCAGGCTGCACTGGGCGATACCATCAGCAAAGTGGGCAGGGGGCACTGGGCGATACCATCAGCAAAGTGGGCAGGGGGCACTGGGCGATACCATCAGCAAAG